GCACACCACTTCCCATCCCTTACCCAAGACTACAGGTCTGCCAGACCAGGCAGCCTGTGGCTCCCGCGTCCAATCAGAGAGCAGAGCAAATAACAGTGAGCAGGGCTCGGCCGGCAAGTGGCTCTGTGGTAAGGGTGCTTCTGGTCTCGGTGTAACACAGGGCCAGGGCGGGGATCAATGAAGCAATAAGTGACCTTTATGGAAACAGGGGGACAGGAGGCAATGATGAGGCTTGGCCAGCACGGGCTTTGGGCATGTATCTGACTGGCTCACTTCCTGCTCTGTCTGCATGTGTGGTTTCTGCCACAGAATCAGGGAAGTCTGGAATACACAGGGAGCTTCTGCTGGCACCCCAAGAGCAAACCCTCAAAGCTCCCAGCTGCTGTTTGTTGGAAGTGACCTATAGTGGGCTCCCCCCTCCCAGGAGACCCTTCCCAGCCCCACCAATTGCTACAGCCGCATTAATGCAGGGAGCAAGCCCCAGAACCCAGGGAAGGAAGTTCCGGCATCTAGAGGCAGTGACTGCCAAGGCTGCTGCTCCTCCGAGGCCCGAGCAAATGAAAGCATGCTCAGTGTGCTGAAACCTGGGGCTGTGACGTTTCCATGCAAGAGATGAGCACTTTAGCAGCTGGTGGGGCACTTGGGAATTAGGTCGGTCAGCATGAGCCTGAGGTGCTCTCAGGCAGGTAAATAGGTCGAAGTCTGTCTCACATTGTTGTGACGACACCCATATCCACCTGCATCTCCTAACTTCCTGTTTGCCCTCAGCCCTCTGCAAAATGCTCATCCAGGGAACATAGAGAGTGTAAGTCCTCCATTCTGTGTGTGTGTGAGATAAGAGCGAGACGCCTGTGTGCTCGCCAGAGGTCAGAGGTCGGCGTCAGTGTCTTCTCAGCTGCTTCTCTAGCTTATTTGCTGAGACAGTCTCCCATTGAACCCAGAACTGACTGTTTAAGATGGCTGGCTCTCGAGCTTCAGAGATTCTTTGGTCTCTAGCCCCTGGAGCTGGAACGACACGTTCACACTGCCATGCCTGGCTTCTCTGTGCAGTCTGGGGCCCCAAGCTCAGGTCCTCACGTTTGCACAGCAGACTCTCACCCAGAGAGCCATCCCCCCGCCCCAGCCCCAGTACTCCCATACCAGACCTTCTAGGCTGGGTATCATCGTAGTGCATGCCTATAATCCTAGCACTTGGGAGGTGTAGGCCCAAAGTTCTTGGCCAGGCTAGCCTACACAGTGAGGCTCTGTCTCAAAAAAGAAAAAAAAAAAAAAGAAAAGGAAAGCAAACAAGGAAAAAATATTGGTGTGAGCCTATAACACTAGGGCCACAAGACAATCAAGAGTGGATATTAGCCTCAGCTACACAGTTCAGAGGGAACCCAGCTGCTTGAGGAGATCTTGCCTCAAAAATAAGAGCACAAGTAAATTTGGTTAAAAGAGTTCTGGGAGTCAGGCCCTGGTGGTGCACGCCTTTGATCCCAGCAGATGCAGGCAGGGCTCAGTGAGTTTGAGGTCACCCTAGTCTCCTGAGAGAGCTTCAGGTCAGCCAGGGAAACACAGATAAACCCTGTCTTGAAAAAAACAAAACGAACAGACTATAATTAACTCAATGAACTATAGGCCACAGCTACATGGTAAGACCACCTCAAAGAATCATAAAGACAAAACAAAACTACAAAATTGGACGGGGGGGTGTCTGTCTGTCTGTTTATTTTTTCAAGACAGGATTTTTCTGTGTAGCCTTGGCTGTCCTGGATTCACTCTGCAGACCAGGCTGGCCTCTAACTCACAGAGATCTGGCTGCCTCTGCCTCCTGAAGTGCTGGGATCACAGGCGTGCGCCACCACTGCCTGGCCAATACAGTAATTTTTTTTTTTTAAGCGACCACTTTTACAGTGGCTGAGCACTGGTTTGACCTTTGACTCTTTCCTGGAGGCCGCAGGGACTCCGACATGGGATTACTAGAACAGGAAGTAACAGAGACTGAAGCTACAGCTCTGAGCAGAGGTCAGCGTCAACCAACGGTGGGACTGACCCTCTTTCCAGGAGGGTTCCCTCCCGCTCTGCTCTGCTCCCCTAACTCTTACCATCAGCTTGCACCCCAAGCTCCAACCAGCTCCCTTCCAGCCCTCTACTCCGCATCTGAGATGTCCAGCACACTCCTGGACGGATGCAATGTCACAAGACCCCCCCGCACCAGAAATGCTGCAGGAAACTGTCTTGCAACCCACGATCAAGGTTCAAAGTGACACAGCACTGCCACGCTAGCCACACCTTGCATTCACGGAGGACCCCACAGGACCTAGTGATGGGACGGCTTCGCAGCGTGCACCCCCCAAAATCGAGCTGCAGGGTACGCAGTGACGACCCATGGATGCGCGCTTCCTGTGCGTCTTTGTGTGTGTGCGCGTTCATGCGTGTGTGTGCATGTGCAGCTCACATGGTTAGATGGCCGTGAAGCCCAAGAGACCCAAAACAGGCTGTGATCTCATGGAAGTTAATCCTGAGCAGGCGATTTCCGAAAATATAATTAGGATGTGGAGAGATGGCTGGGAGGTTAACAGCCACGCTGCTCTGGCAGAGGCCTCAAGTTTGGTCCCAGCACTCAGGTCAGGTGGCTCCGAGCCACCTGTAAGTCCAGTTCCGAGGTCCTTCTAGCCTCCAAGGGCATTTGTAATCATGTGCACATACATACATACATACACTCATACATTTAATTAAAAATAGTAAAAATAAATCTAAAAGTTTACTTTAAAAGAAAGTAACATAGGAGTAGTGGCAAATCTCTTTAATCCCAGCACTCAAAAGGCAGAGGCAGGTGGACTTCTGTGAATTCCAGTCCAGCCAAAGGGCTACAGAGAGAGACCCTGCCTCAAAAAAGGAGGCGGAAAAGAACACACAAAATAAACATGCAGAATGTCTCCATGAAGAACTGACAACATGTGACAGCTGGTTCTAATTATCAGCTAGACGCCCTAAGGAGAGTCGCAGACGCTGTCTGGACTAGGTTGGCCTGACGGAATATCTGTGGACAATTGTCTTGAACGTTAGTGGATGTGGGGATTAACACTTAATGAGCCAGGCCACTGAGGGCAGGAACCATGGCCTAGGATCTGAACTGTCACAGCTCAGGGGTGGGGGTGGGTAGGAAGCTAACACTATGCTCTCATTCTCTCACTTGGAACTATGGCTCTGACTAGCTGCTTCAAACTCTTACGGTCTGGACTTCCCCACAGTGACAGACATAACCTGGACCTGAATGTTGAATGATTCTCTCACACCTCAGAGTTCCTACTGCTGCTGATACTCAGGCTTCCACAGCCTCACGTCCACACTGCCCTTCTCCACGCCGACTCTTGCCGTCAAGCTGGAGGCCATGGCTCCACTCTGCTCTCCCAGAGTGCTCTTCCTGTTGCTTGAGGCCTTCCCATCTCTGACTCTGAAACCCTAGAGAAGTCCTCGCTCTGGCCAGAGGACACTCCCTTTCTGTGCTCACAGGGGCTTTCTTCCCTCTGGCGTTTGTCACATTCTGTCCTGACACAGAACTATATCCCCACCACAGATCTGACCTCAGCTTTCAAATTAAATAGAAACACAGCCACCCACGGAAGGCTCTGGAATGAAAGCCCATTCCTGTTAAGTGAGACATGAGTTGTCTCAGAAACCCCACGATTCCCCCAGGTCAGTAAGTCTCTTGAAGAGCCACAAGACAGACTGAAAACTCCCTGTGATGGTTTTCTGAAAGGGCCTGTCGGGGCCTGTAGCCAAACCCTACCTTTAACACTGTTATCAGGCAAACTGACAGCTGCTCATTCCCTCATTTCCTATAGCTGAGCTTCTGAGCTACTGCCCAAGGCGTAATTATAAGGTTCAGGACTTTAGTCACAGTGGGAGGGACCTGGGAAATACCTTTGGGAATGCAGCCGGCTCCCAGGCCTCCCTAACGTGTTTATAAAGCAGAGCCTCACAGACAGGAGTCACCCTGCACCCTGAAACTGATGCAAGAAAAGACACCTTCAGACACCTGGGAGTCCGTCTACCTTCACCAAGCTCAAGCTCGGGCTGTGAGCGCACAATTGATCTCTCTAACCAAATGCAATTTGCCAGATGTGCTAGGCTTAAAGTAGTGGTTATTATTAAAGAAAAATCGGTAGTTTGGAACTTAGGAGGCTCTGTAAGAAACTTGGGAAATCTTTTCAGAGAGAACTAGACATCACTTCCTCGATTAAAAAAAAAATGTTAAGACTGGATTCATTAAATCGTAGTTCGAAGAGCAGGTATGTTCCTTTAAGAGGAGGTAGAAACCGAATTTCTAAACAAAATGTCAGATGCACTAGATGAAGTCAAATCCCCATATATATATATATATATATATAATCTATATATGTATATATAAATTGCCAAATTATATATATACTCTTAGGATAAAAAGGGTTTCTTATATTAGATTTCTTTAGTATTTACGGGTCCCAGTGGTTCTTGGACCAGGGGAAAGAGGGCAGGGGCTTGGGTGGGTGTCTCTGTCCCTCCCTACCTGGCCTACCACAGGAAGCAAGCTGGGACAGGGCTCTCTGCGGCCCAAATCCCTGCCCTGGCGTCACCCTGAGTCGCGCGTCCTGGTCCAGGAACACCGGCAGCACTTCGCAGGACGGAGGAAAACTAAACCCCATTGTTTAAGACCAGACGCACCGACTTCACCCGGCCGGCCGGAGCACGGCTTCCGTGCCGGTAATCGGATTCCTGGCGGGCGGCCGGGGAGGGGCCCGGCCGTCCATCTGCTGTCCACAGCGACCGCAGGCCCGGCGCACAGGAAGCCTGCTCCTCCCGGGACCCGACGGGCGGACCGCGCCGCGCCCTGGCCTGGCCCAGGAGAACCCCAGCCGCTGAGGCTGCCCTGCGCGCGGATGTCCAGCCGCGGGGAGCCCGAGATGGGAGCGCACGGGCTTCCAGGGAGCAGAGGAGACGGGCCCCCGACGGGACCCGCTGCGCCTGGTCCTTACCATCTCCTTGCGCAACAGTGCCAGCGCGGCGTCCAGGTTGGGCGGCTTGGCCGGCGTCCCCGCTGCCCGCGCCCCGCCGCCGCCCGCGCCCCCTCGGCTCAGCTCGTCCTGGATACGCGACTTCTGCGCGTACAGCCGCTGCAGGTGCCGCCAGCCGCCCGCCGTGCCGCCCGCCGCCGAGTGCAGCAGCCCGCTCAGGCTTTTGGGTAGCGGGGGCAGCCCGTCCACGCGCAGCCCCCTGGCCGCGCCCGCCGACGCGGCCCCGCTCATCTCACCGGCGTGCGCAGCTCAGCCCGGGTCCCCGGAGTCCCGCGGGTCCCCACCCACTTCCCGCCCGCGGAGCCCCGCCTGCGGCCCGGCCCCTCGGGCTCCGCCCCTCCCGGGCCCGCCCCCTCCTCCTCGGCTCCCTGCCGCTGTGAGGCGACGCCCTGCAGGGTACCCTGGCCTCCGGTCCATCCTCACCTACGTGCGCCCCGGGCCGGCCCCCGGGGTCTCCTTAAGTTTCAACTCCGTGAACCCCACGGGGAGTCAGTCCCCTCCCTTTTTCGCCACACCCCCTCTCCACCTCTCTGTGTCCCACCTCCAGTCCTACCCCAGCCCGGAGTACCCCACCTCCAGCCGGTCACCCTCCTCCCCTCTGAGCCCCACCTGCAGCCCCAGGCCCGTGCTACCCGCCCTGCCCCTACCGGTTCTGCACCCACAGCCCCATCCATCTTCCCTCCTCCATTCCAGATTGCTCCCCTCCCTCCATGTCCACACTCTTGGCCGGCCTCTCTGGCCTCGCTCTGACCAGCCCCTGACAACGCTTCTGTTTACCAAGGGGCCCAGTCCCAGCCCCAAACCCCGGGGCTGCCTGTGCCCCAATGCGGCCTTCAGTCCTGGAGTGCTGGTAGAAGCCAGAAACCCCACACTGCTCACTCGCAAGCGCTCTGTGGGTGCCAAGGTTTCCCAAACTTCAGAAGCCAAGAGGAGCACCAGCCTCTCTTCACTCTTTTAAAGAAATGTCTTGTCTTTCAGCCTGGCCAAGAACAGACCAGTAACTCTCAATAGAAACGTCAGGGAATAACGACCCTGCCCCACCTGGTGGAAAACAGACCCTTTCCTCCGAGTTGTGACTTAAACGCACACCATCATGCCGTGTGCACACACGATACACACTAAAATAAGTAAGAAAAAAAATTAGGTGAAATGTCAGGGAGATAGAAAAAGACAACAAATCTCAAAAACTCTTTGCCAACTCCCGCAAAAGTAAGTAAAACTACACCTTAAAGGAAAGAGAGTCAGGAGGAGGTTTTGTCCTCCCAGGAAGAATCAAACCTTAGCAAGAGATGACCAGCTCAGATTGAAGATGAGGAAACCGGATCTGCGGTCAAAGCAGAGAAGCCCAGAGGGTGACTAGGGAGGACTTTAACACCGGTGGCTTCCGGGTTTATATAAAGGGTCTGACTGAGTCTGCGTTAGCTCAGCAGAAGCATGTGTCCTCCGCTTCAGATACCTAGTATGAAAGCACCCTCTAGCTTTGAGGGCTGTCTGCTGCTGTGCATGGAGCCCACCCCAAATCAATTTGACCCAGGCAGACAGTGAGACTGAGGGCTCCCAGGAGACCCCCTGCCACTTCTCACATTTCCCAGCAGTCTAGTGACTATCCAGTCACCCTTCCAAACCCTGAGCACTCCTTCCTCGTCATCCCAAACCCTGGGCACTCCTTTCTCATCAGTCTGTTAAGCAATGGGAGATTGTGTGGGAGGGAGGGGAGGAAGGAGAAGGGAGGGGAGGAAAACATCAGACCTGCCTTTCACAACCTGGCCTGAATTCTTTCTCATCTGCCTCTTTACCCGCCTCTCTAGAAGACCCAGCAGAACGGTCAAGTGAGCAGACAGAGCAACAGGAAGCATTTTGCAGCATCTGAGACACTGCAGTGTATCCTTCCGGAAGGCGGAAGCTGGAGGAAAGAGGATGGGGGCAGCTAGAAAACAGCCGGGGCCCTTGGTGTGAGGGCAACATGGTCAGTCCCAGCCACAGGGTTTCAGGTAGGCCCTGCCTTCTGGTACGTACTCAAGGTAGTGAACATATTAGAACCCCCATCAGCAAACAACACCCCGAGATGGATAGAAATCTCGACAGAATTTATTCAGTACTGATAAGGACTACATGAACAAACCAGACACAATTGTGCAATAGTCGACCAAATATTTTGACGCCCATGGGCAGTGCCAGTGCTTGCTTGCTTCATTTATTTATTTATCTATTTAGCCAGGCCAGGGATTAAATACTGCTTGTACCTGCTGGAAAGCTCAGTGCTCCACCACTGAGCTCTGTCATCAGGCCACACACACACAAACGAGTGTGTGTGTTGTTTTATTCTTGTGTATGTGCACATGTAGGGGTCAGAGAGCAGCTTTTAGACAAGCCACTGTGTGGCTCCCAGCAGTCAAGCTGAGGTCTCCAGGTTGCCATCAAGTACTTTTGCAGCCACCTTTTCTGAGACAGGGAACCCAGAGCACACCGGGCAGCTGGACTGACTGGCCAGCAAGCTCCAGGGGTCCTTCTGTGTCTGTCTTCCCATTGATGGGTCTGTGGGTGCTGAAGAATCCAAAGTCGGGTTCTCAGGCTTAGTGACAGGCACCTTGCTGACGGAGCCTCGTCCTGGCCTCCCCCTGGTGCCTGCTTTTAACTCCAGGCTTACCAGGGGAAAGGGTATGGAGGCAGCTTCTGAGGATGTCGGCATGTGCAGCCTTTGCTGTCATCTGAAAGCCCTCTCTGCCTGCTGGAGCTGCTCTCAGCAAATACCTCGGAATTGGTTATTTATTAACAACCAAGTTTACACTCCCAGTTCTGAGTCTGGAGAAAAGGGAAGGAGAGAGCCCATGCCTCACACAGCGTCACACAGAGGGCCCTGTGTATGTCCTCACTGGGTGGAGGGGCGCTCCCTGGAGCCTCTCCCACGAGGACACTAATTCCATTCATGAGGTTCCACCCTCACGACTTAGTCACTCTCGCCAGTCAATCCATTTTGCCTAAGCACCAAAGCCGTCTGCCCCTGGGGCCATCAGAGTGGCCACTGACCTCTGGGGGAGCAGCGAGCAAAGCGTGCACACTCCTTGGCAGTCCTTACTCCAGGTCACAGAACCTCAAGCCCCACAGCTGTCTGGCAAGACCCTGTCGCTCTGTTCGCCTCCCCACCAGCTCACAGTTACTTGCTGGGGAGGCGGGGTGTCAGAGAGACTCCAGCTGTATTTGACAAGTCCTGAGCAGTTCCAGGCTTCTTCCTGTCCCTCCCTGTGAGCTGGCTCCTTTCAAAGCTTGAGTTTGGGCTTGATGCTTCACACTTCTGAGCTTTACTCCAGCTGCAGATTAACCCTTTCCAGGGATGTTGGACAAAGAAACAGCAGTACACATCCAGAGTGCCAAGGCGGAACGCACATAGAATCGGCATTCTCCATATTGATTTTCACCATTTTCGCTTGCTTTATTGAGTCCTAGCTGAGCAAAGCTATTTGACCCTTTATTGTTTTGTTGTATTTGAGACAGGATCTTACATTGTAATCAAGCCGCCTAAAACTCACTGCTTCACTGTGTGGCTTAGGCTAGCCTGGAACAGCCCCTTCCTAGTGCCAGCTTGTTTTGGTTTGGTTTGGTTTTGGCTTTTCAGGTCCTGGTTTCTCTGTGTAGCCTTGGCTGTGCTGGAACTCACTCTGTTGACCAGGCTGGTCTCGAACTTACAGAGATCTGCCTGCCCCTGCTAGGATTAAAGGCGTGCACAGTGACTGCCCGGCTGAACTTCTACTCTTGACCTATTTTCACACCCATCCTCTCGTGAACTCTTGCCCTCTGAATCAATGACATCATCACCTAGGTGATGGTGACAGTGGCAACAGTGGCTGTGCTGAGGCTTGCTGTGGTGTGCCTTTTGCAGATGGCATCTTGTTCCCTCTTCACGGTGCTCTCTGAGGTCTGTGAAGTGGCTCCCATGATGGACAAGCTGAGAGAGCAAGCATTCCTGGCCATGCCACTTTGATGGACTGAAGTGATAAACAGGATGGGTGAAGGGCGAAGCCTCGGCTCTCTGCTCCACGCTGGCCGCAATCCATGCACTTGTATTTTGAGTATGTTAGCTGTCACGTGACTGTGGATGACAAGGGATTAAAAAAAAAAAAAAGGTGCCAAAAACTGAGCCATCTGAAGCGATGGTGACTAACGGGAGCCACGGCGGAGTCCTGGTGATGTGGCTGGTCCCGGGTGGCGTGTGCCGAACAACATGGTGGTCACCAAAGAAGAGCATGAGAGGGCTCACCAACACCGCTCTGTTGACGGCAGGCTGTAAACGGTTCTGGATATTCTCAAAATATATTTTCATCTCATCTGCTTTTTTCTTTTCCTGGGTCCAGTTTCTCGTAAGGAGGCTGGCGAGGCACACAGGGTCCTCGTAGCAGCCAGAGCTGTGAATGGGGGAGCCGAGTAGATGCCTTCAGGGCTTGGGGCTCCCATAGCAGGTTGTGTTCAGAGATGTGAGCATTATCCTCAGACTGTGCCTGTTAATAACCTCCCCTTAGAACCCTGAACGGGTAGGAGTTGAGCGTCCCCTACAAAATCAGTCACTCAGCTGACACAGGCCAGGCTTTGAAAAGTCTCCTCACTGACTCACTGTGTCCAAATATGCTGTAGATGGGCAAATCCTGTTCAGGGATCACAGTTTTGCAGAAGCTGAAAGCTTGGAGTTCCCTGCCAGGCAACACTCTCGGTTTCAGTGAACACCAGTCAGGTTGTGGGGACAAGCCTCGCTGAAACAGAAAGCAGAGGACAGATGGAAGTTCCCAGCTCCCGCCCACAGTGGCGGCTCGTGGAAGCTTCCAGCATGCATCCATTGAGAATTTGCACAGTGGGGGAACTGGGATGTGAATAGAACTGGAAGACTAGACAGAATTCATTCAGAGCCCCACATGGCCAAGCAGAGGAAACTGTGCCCTGTGCAGCTCCATGGATTAGCCAGCTGGACTCGGCTGTCAGTCCCTGGTGACAACAAAGTCCTGTGTGACTCAGCAAACAGGTCTCCACCTTTTTCATTCTTCTTCCTAAAAGTCTGATTAACTAGTGTCCTGGCTGGCTTTATGTCAGCGAGACACAAGCTAGGGTCACCAGAGAGGAGGGAGCCTCAATGAGAAAATGCCTCCCTGAAGTCAGGCTGGAGGCAGTCCTGTAGGATAAACAGACAAGCTGAATGTACATAACAGGCTCTTGTGGTTGAGAAGGGGGCAAAGGCGGCCTGGTCCCTAGCGACAAAGGTGCTGACTGTCGGGCAGGGGAGC